CCGAGGTGTTAAACCGCATGGTTTTGGACCTAAATGGTCTCAAAGAGTTTTTGGTTATGGGGTATAGTTTTCTCTAACCATGTCTCTAATTGGTGAATAAAAACTTAGGAAATTCACCTAACATGTTTTAACTAAATATAAACATTGGCGACGTCATGTCTGTAACCCAACAACAGAAGGCTGGTCAAATCATAGCGTGCAAAGTTGATTTTTCTTCAAATCTTGAGATACATGTGCAATTTTTTGAAAGGAAAATGACACAAACGGTCCATGAACTTTGGTCCAATGTGCAATGTGATCCCTAAACTTTTAATTTGCTCAATGTCGTCCTTGAATTTTTGGTACATGTTCAATTTAGCCCCTGAACTATATGAAAATATTCAATGTAGTCCTTCCATTAATTCAAGTTCAGGAACATTGAACATTTTGCATACAGTTCAGGTATTACATTGAATACGTACCAAAAGTTAGGGACTATATTAAACAAATCAAAAATTCATGAACCAAATTGTATATCGGGCTAAAGTTTAAGGACTGCTTGTGTCCTTATCCTTTTTTTTGAAATCGGAAGGTCCAAATTATGAGGGTAAAGTTGAGGATAGTTTTATAATTGTGAAAGAAAAGCTATAGTATTAGCACTAACAATATATCCTTCCACTACATGCCAAAACTATATATATATATATATATATATATATATGTATGTATGTATGTCTTAAAATTTGTACTATAGCTTCCTAATTAAGGCAAGATGCAAGCACTCTAATTAGCTTCATAAGGTAATTAATAGTCCTTAACCATGCACCCTCATTATTGTGAACTATGGTGAGCGGAGAATTAGTTAGAAATGAGACTCCGTTTATTTTGCGGATGACGAATGGTTTCAAAATTATATTTCTAAAAATGATCACTTGTATTATTTAAAATAATTAGTTAATGAAAAATATTTTCATCATCAATAACAATTTATGTCTAAATATTTTCGTGAAAGAAAAAAAAATTCATTCATTTTTATAAGGGATATAAACGATTATTATTGGGACAATATTTTTCAAATCATTTAATTTTTACAAAACAAACGGAGTTGATAATATCGCATCTTTATTTTCCAAATAGATATCAAAACACAAAATGAAGACCTGCCTGGTTCAATTCTATTGGTCTGAGTTGGCATAAGTAGTGGCTGTGAATTTAAAACGTGTTTAATCTCATCCTTTTTACCTGACCTGTTGTAATATTGTGTAAATGGTAGAGATCAACGGCTACTTGCGTGACATCTTCTCTGGAGGTCATAATTGTAGGTCTTAACAAGGTGATTTTTGCTTAAATTGTGTTCATTGGGAGCCACCTCCTTAAACTTTTTCGTTACATGAAAATCTTGGCACTTAGTTCGACAAAATTCAATACCATGTTACACGAAAGAAGACGACTAGGGGGCATGAAAGTGCCCAATGAGTCGTCGTATCCATGATCAGCTATATTTTTATAAAAAGTGTATGTTGTTAACATACGGATGGTCATTGGACTTCGAAAGCCATCAAACTACTCATGAACAAGAATTCATTACTATTCTAAAGGGAATATCGTACTTTTTCCACCATGACCACAAGGTGTTGCTCAAATCTGCCTATAATAAAAAAAAAAAATTACGTATAACATTGTCAGGCCAACTCAATCAAACCATATCAGATTTCATAATTAGAAAGTCTTGTCCAAGCCTAAGCAAAAGTGCCTTTCAAGCCAATGTGGCTCAGGCGGGCTGATGGGCCACCCCGTCATCAAATCTACCTACCACCTAACATTCAAGTTTACTAGGCCCGTTCCTCTTCTCATGCCCTATGTACTTCCTACATTGGGTGTTATTAATCTGCAAACAAAAGGACTTTGGGAGCAAACCTTCTCTACACCATACACTACACTTGATTTTTTTTTCCAATAGTTTTAGCATGAGATAGCTCTTCTCTATGTGTCGATAATCCGAATGGTTTTCCATAAGAAACCTTTTAACCCACCCTATAGTGACCTATTCCTCAAGAAAGTATTTTTTATGTATTATTTACAGAGCTTATGTGGTATAACCGACGACCATTCATATCATCCGCATGATGTACATCTCATCCAGCATGGCACTAAAAATTTTTAAGTTACTCATTTTTAATTGACTGTTTACGCTACCCGATTACTTGTCGTTGGTACACAGTCTAACCGTCATGTCAAACCCCTTCTCCTTTTCCTCACTTTTGGGATACAAGAAAAATGGCACTGAATCACAAGCTCTGGCTGAGACGACTCTCACTAGCAATAAATGAATGAATTAATGACAAAAAAAATGGGAGCCATCCCATACTTGAGAACATAACATATTATGAACGTTATCGGTTATATCTAGACTGCAAGCTAAACCAGCAAAGGGGGTTCGAGTAAAATGGGCTTTTAATCAAGTTCTTGATCCTGACTGGCCCAAAAAGAAAAAGTTCAGCACTTCTTTTCTCCCTTGTCTTGGAAAGGCTGTACCCGATGCAGGTGAGCCCAACTCAAGAGAATGATACACACGAATTGGTCATTATAGCGCTTCCTCTTGATCCTAGAAAACATCTTATGAGAAAACCTTCTGCACGATAGCAAGCACTGGGAAAAGTACGATAAGTAAGATACATAATTTTGAGTGTGGTCGAACACCGGAAATTAGAAATCGACAGAGTGGCTTGGGATGATATGCTAGCTTTGTCGAATTTCTTAAGATGGAAGCACTACTGTCGCCAATCCATCGGCAGGAGGCAATGCCAAATGCAGATGCTGACCTATGGGTTCTCCCCTTTGCTATAGGGTCATGTTACCATCTTTTTCATGACCCGTCTAAGCATTACATCATACAAACAAATAGTTATACTTTTGCTCCGATATCCAGTAATATCTGCTTTTTTGCCGTTTTAAGATTTTTGAAGACTCTTTTGCAAAAAGTCCAAATTGCCTCGAATTAACCTCTTGAGATCACGATAAGCTACTGAAGTAACTGACTGATAACCGTCTAATAATCATAAAATGGTAATCTGAAATATATAATATCTACTCTAACAGTTCAAGCTTTTGAAGTAGACAATTGCATTTATAAACTTTTAAGTTAGTATTAGAGTTAGAGGTCTCGAGTTCGATTCCTCTCTCTCCCCATTCATTGATTTATGGGTCAACCTCCTGTTATACATTTTGGGTCTTCTAACAAAAATCCTTTCACGTGCATTACGCTTTCGTCATACTATTAGCCTTCACATGAAGGGGGCTGTTATGTAAACATTGTAAAGTATGTTATGTACAGCACTGTAGTAGCTTAAGTTTTGTATGTAAACGATTGAACACATAATTTGAAGTAAGTTAACTGAGAAACTTTAAACCTATTTAAAGATCACTTAGATATGTCATAATGTTGGTTGTAATGAATTGTAAATTTTGGCCAGCCAAAAAATGGAGAATCAATGTCATATGCTCATAAACACATCCCCCCAATCCAAAATGAAAATGACCCAATACACTTGGTGACGAAATGACCTAATTCCCTTATCAAAATATCGATTACTACCATATCATCTCGATTCATAAGAAATAAAATTTTCATGAAAATTCAAGGGATTTTCTTTGCTCTGCTGATGATAACCTAAAACCACCCAACAGTAATCGTACATGGAAACATTGACTTGTCTTGCATTCATATGTCTTATGAGGATGCGTAGAGTTCATTCAACTGTTCATCTACGATGCCCCGTTGTCATGACACGACAAATGCCTGAAACTGGTTGATGTCTATGATCCAAAGAGAGGCGACTTTAGGACTTGCACTTCGTGAATCACCTTAGGAAAGAAGCCAATGATGTCCTGCGATGAGGTACCTAGAAATGAGAAACCAGTGCTCCCAACAGAAAGTCGAATCGTCACTACAGCGAGCGGCTTGAGTGGAGAATTTGTTGGGGCCAACCCTTCTTTGATCCAAACCTAGAAGAGCCCAACCTTGTCATTCTTGATTAAATGATGATTGGTCGAGAGTCCCTTCGAGCAAGCGAGAGATAGACGGACAGAGATAGAGAGTATGTGATCGGTGAAGAGACTTCATTCGTTTGCATTTGGATTCACCGGTTTTGTCACCCGAAATATTGCGAAAAGAGTAAACTTATCTTAGTTACGTTATATATAATTAACTTGGAAAATAGAATAAAATGTTTTACAGTAAAATTCGTGTAAAGTTTGCGTTACAGCACAAGCATTTAAAGTACGCGCGTTTGAACTCATAATGAGTGAATTTACTTTAATAAATGATTTGCTTTTCCAATACATTGACATATATTCAAGAATATATGTCTTCTTATAGGCCACATATATACAAAACAACAACCCATTTGAAAAATCAATAGAATGCGTTTCTCAAGTATCTTGTGACGTAACAACTCATTACAATTAGAGCAAAAGTCACCAAAAATCTTAAGGTGTGCCCATTGTGACACATTTACCTTAACTTTTTTTTGTGACATCAAAAATTTCAAACTTGTACCTGTATAATACATTTACCCTCCCTCTGTCAAAGTTTTATCAATGAAAAACGTTAAAAATCTGCCTACATGGACATCATAAAGCAAATAATGTTGATATGATACCCACGTTGCTTAAATCAAATCCAACATAACCTTAACGGAGGGTAAATATGTCAAATAAATACAAGTTTGGGCTTTTTGTCACAAGAAAATGTTTTAGGGTAAATGTGTCGCAATGAGTGTCACAAAAAAAAAAGTTCAAGCTAAATTTGTCACAGTAAGAATAGTATGGGGCTTTTTGTGACTTTTTCCCGAAGAAATATGGGCACCTTCATTTCCAAGCCCACTAAGGGATGCTATTTTCTTAGGTTTAGGCCTGGAATCTCATGTAATTTCACTAAATTAGAATCTTCTTTGACATGAAACAATAAGAAGATGAGTAATTTTAAGATGCCCAATGACAATTAATTAGGCAAACAACGATTTCTGAGCAAAGTAACGTGCACTTTGTATCTATTATTCCTTTTGTCCCATACATTCTTCTCTACAAGTACACGATTTATTATTTTGCTTTAATTGCAAATGCGATCCTCCAAACTCTTGAGGGGCTTAAGATTTCTTGCAATTTTCTGAGCATGAATTCACACAACCATCAACTTTCTTGGCATCTGCAATTAAAAGAAAGTACATAAAAACCCATAGTATGCATTTCCAAATATTGGAATACCACAAAAAAAGATAATTAAAAGAACCTATATTAGCTATAATTTTTTCCAAAGTCGATAATCAATCAATATGCACCTACACTAAGGGTGTTCTTTTCCTAGTTTTTCATCGTTTGATTCTTCGGGAAAAATGGGGCTAGAATAATATTTTTCGTTGTTGATAAAAATAAGATCCATGCTTTTAAAAACTAGAATTCATTAAGACCTCAATCATCGTCATCGGCCATCAAAGCTTGGAAAAAAGGACTACAGAGGACAAATCGAGGTCTTGATGCTTGAAAAAATTCTTTTATGGTTTAATAAAGAATATGTAGCCCAAGCTCATCTGCACATGATTAATAATAATATGGTGATCCACTTGATTAATATTCAAAATGATATTGATCTTTGTGATTTACAAACCGGGTAATAACTTCTCCTCAATGCCCAGACTTATCGCATAAACCCAACTCTCAAGGACCAGTCCCAAGAATATCTATGTAAGAAAAAGTTTATAGTTTCCTGTTAACAAGCGCAGGAAACTAATTTCATGTCCAGCCAAAAAAAAGTAAACTCCTTGAAAAACGAAGGCATTTTCTGGAAAAATCAAGCTGTCTACCAAGTAGATGGATCCCAAATGTACGAATAATGAGAAAAGTATCAAAAAAGTCCTAAACATTTGGCATTTGTGTCAATTTAATCATAAACATTTTTTTGATGCCAAATCCTAAATCTTTTGCATTTGTGCCAATTTAGTCCTAAACCATGTTTTTATGCCAATTCAGTCCTAAACATTTTGCATTGGTACCAATTCAGTCCAAAACCTTTTGTCTTAGTGCCAATTCAATCCTTCCAGCTAATTTTGGCCAGATTTTTCTAATGTGGATGCCGACCGGGCGGCAGCCAGTCACCGGCGTTGACGTTGACAGCTTTTTAATAATATTTTTTGAATTTTTATGTATTTTTTTTCTTTTCTTTTTTTTTCCCTCCCCTCCCTCCTTCCTCTAGCCGGTCGCCGGTGAGGGTGAGCCTCACCAGTGGGCCTCATCGGCTACTGGCGAGGCTCGCCCTCGCCAACAATGGCGAAAGCGAGCCTCGCCATGGCTGGGCAAGGCTGGACCTTGCCAGATCTGGCGAGGTCATGCCTCACCCAGCCGCTGGCGAGGTCGGGCCTCGCCCAGTCGCTAGCGAGGCTCGAACCTCGCCCGCCCAGCGTGAGGCCGCCCTCTCGGCCATCCGGTGAGGGCGAATCTCACCGGCCTCTGGCTAGTTGCTGGTCCGGCGACTAGTTCGAGGAAGAGAGGAGAGGAGGAAAAACAAATAAATAAAATAAATAAAAATTCAAAAAATATTAAATATTATTAAAAATTATCCACGTCGGCAAAATCCGGCCAAAATTGGCCGGAATGACTGAATTGGCACAAAGACAAAAGGTTTAGGACTAAATTGGCATCAATGCAAAAGGTTTAAGACTTTTTTTACACTTTTCCCTACGAATAATGGAGATAGTAGATTTTTATTCCACGAAACAACAGTAAAATTCTCTTGCTTTTACGAGCGGTCTAATTATCAAACAAAAAGTTGAAGTTTTTAGCCTATCACAATTGATGAATGAAGAAAAACATACATCTTTTCTATCTAAAAGGTGAAGGTTTTGTTTTCGTACCAGGATGTAGTTCAAGACATGTGGACACCATGCAATCGAGGTTGCATTGGCTTTCGAATGTCACAGCCTCCGATGCCCCTATACAATTCTTGTAGCATGCGAGATAGCAGGCCCTTTTGTTAGGGATCACAGAACATTCAGCCAAGCATTGGACCTTACACAAGTCCGATTTAAATCGCTTCCCCTCAGTGAGGGATGCCTGCAACGCTATCGTGGCCACGAGCATCAGCAACACAAATTTAGCACAACTCTTGACATCCATGTTTGATTTGTTTTCAAACGAGTAATGATTCGCAGACTATTTATTGTATTTTGGTATAAGAGCGATGTGATTCTACTATATATATAGATGCAGGATATTGGGATAATCTTCATTTGTTTATATTGTAACGCTTATCTATGGATTATTTCTACTTTCTTTATATGGAGGGTGAGTATATGATTTTTTCGGGAAAGATTTATAGTCAAATCCCAAAATCTCATTACAATAAGTTAAGATTTTTTTGTTCAAAAAAAAAAAAGTTAAGCTTTTCTTTCCTTGTGGGGCCACTACAACTCCCATTTTGACTAAATCCCCATTTTCCCTAAAGAGACAAAATTGCCTAAAAAAATCCAATAGAAGTTTAAAATGGTGGGACTAAATTTATTGTTTTTCCTTGTTTTTCCGTTTTTCTCTTACAGATTCTCATTGCCATTGTTAAGAATGTAACATGGCTTTTCTTTTCTTTCTTAAGTGGGTATCACCATTCATACTAAAAGCACCTTGCAATCTTTTTCTTTATTATTATCATATTTTACCTCTATACACTTTAGCACTATAGAAGAGAGAAAGCTTCAAAATACCTAATTCTCACGTAAAAAAACTACTTTAAAGATTTCCCAAAGTAAAAGCACAGTTACATTCCAAAATACGCCTACTGTGATACATTATCTTAAATTTTTTTCTGTGATATCAAAAATCCCAAAATTATATCTATGTAACACATTTATACTCCATCAAGATTTTGTCAATAGATATCATTAAAAATCTGCCTAAATGGATGCCAGAAGGCAAACGGTGTTGACAGGGCATCCACATGACTTAAATGAAATAAAAACGATGTAGTTTTAGCTAAAAAGTCATCTGACGAGAATTTAATTGAGACTAAATGTGTCACATGGGTATAAGTTTTAGGTTTTTTATGTCACAAGAGAAAATTTAGGACAAATGTGTTCACAGTGGGTATAGTTTTGGATTTTTGAGGTCACAATAAAAAAATTCAAGATAAATGTGTCTCAATGAATATTTGGTGGCTTTTTCCCTTATGCTTATGTCCGTTTTCAATAATTTAGAGTGCCCGAATCCCATGACTAATTAGTGGACCACACTCCATTAATTTGTTTGGTGACTCGTTACATTTGTAAATGCATAGTTGCATATATTAAAGTACTTGCATGCAAGACGAAATGAAAGGCTTGTTAGTGGTGGTGAATCCCAATATATAATAACAAATCACTCATTATTGGACTAGGATACTGAATAGATATATGGATAACCTCTTACTTATTCTTAAAAAAAAGGAAAAAAAGAAAAATGACTGTTCTACTAGTATTATTCAACCACTTGTGAGGTTGATGCTTTTGGAACCTTTAAGAATTATCATAGAGGAACACACAATTCTGCTTCAAATTTTTTATCACTTATTGTTACGTATGATTATCAAGAGATGTCTACTTGGCTACCTCCACTTAGGTTGCATGTTTTTCTATGGAATTATCCTTTTAGCTAATATGAAAGAATCGCGTGCTTTTCTTTTTTTGGAGGATTAGTTTTGAAATTTGAATTGATTTTTTGGCACCGTTTGAGATTTATGAAGAATAGTGTGATCTAACGATCACAAATTCAAAAACTAATTACAAAAAATTACGAAAAATAAATGATTTAGAAAATATTTTCCTGAAAATAATCACCGGTATCGCTTGAAATAGTTAGTTAATGAAAAATATTTTCCTTATCGATAACAAATTTATATCTAAACATTTTCGTCTACGATGAAAAAAACTACTTCCATGTACTAACTAGTTGCTCTTAAACTAGAGATTCATCATGTAGGCGGGAGAAAAAAAATACAAAAATTTTGGATTAAAACTTATATGGAATTTTATTTATGTATAGCTGTAAAGTTGTTGCGCAAGAAAGGTATAATATTACTGTTTAAATTAGACATTCAAAAGAAACAAGTAATACAATGTAGATAGAAAACTTTGTCAAATATAGTACATCATGGAACATTATTGAGCGCTTCTTAATCATCACATGACCTTCCAAATATTCATGATGAACCGATTTAAGAACTTCATTTACTTTCAATATTTTTAGATCAAGCCTTCATTAGGCCAATCCAATGTATATGCAAGAAATTTTATATGATAAACAGGGCAATTTCAATAAAAGGTCTAAGGTGGGACATTATTCTTAAAAGAAGGCTCATAGTAGACATTATCTCAAATAAGCCCCTCAAATGGCCAACTTAGTCTTAAATAAAGACCCGAGCTTCCCAGCCAGTCAAATTTTCCTCGGCCGGCATGTCCGTGCATCTCATTTGCATCTTTTGTATGAACAAAAGATGCACACGAGATGCAAATGAGATGCACGGACTCGCCGGTCAGCAAAGATTTGGTCGTCCGGTGAGCTCAAGGCCATATTTGACACTAAGTTGGCAACTTAAAGACCTTATTTAAGATATGGACTCTTCTAGAGAAAACGGCTCCACTTACCTTTATTTGAATTTTCCCCTATGACTAGCATATGAAGAGATGATTTGCCGATATGTACTAAATGCAATGTTAGTTATTCACTACTATCCTAACTTTGTTTTGGTGGGTCAACTTGCCTATGTAAGGTGTTAAATTATCTTACATTGCTAACTTGCGGAGTTTATATGTCCTTTGTCGGTGTCAACGGTAGGATTGAGCACGGCAAATTGCAGTGCTCAAAGCGATTGGACCGTGGAACGAGCCCTTTAAGATTAGGATTAATTAAGTTTATATGCACCAGGGAACAAGGGAGTTTGTGTAACAATGGCGACATTAATATTCAATGCCAATCTTTGCTCTAGGAGAAATACCTAGCGATGGGTAGTCATTATGTCAAAAGAAGATACAAATAATGCAAATTGCAAATGCTAAACAGCCCCAGATGAACAAGAGGAAACCACCCTAATGTAGGTAGACCTCACATGTCCCGCCAATAGAAAAGAAAGAGGTTAGGAAAATGGTAAAAGAGACCGTTGATTATGTCCACTCCCGTCGCCCACACGCCCAAACTCCACCGGTTTGGAGTTTTTCTTCAAACCGGTATGATGAGAACACGACTGGAGGGACCAAGCAGAGATCCTTGAAGCAAACCGTAAATTACTCGGTCTTAGATAACACTTTTGTGCCCTGTTTCACTCAAAACCGATCCCTTCAAGTTGTCAGTCGGAGAAAATTAGAATATTTTCATATATTAGAGCTAATTAGAATATTTCTATCGTTTTTCTCTATCTCTTCAGATTGTACAATATCTTTTTAATTGTGCATATCTTGATTGATATATGTTACATTTGATAGTCTCTTATAAAGCCTATATAGTATCTCTTCACATTTTACTACCGTATCATCTCGATTCATAAGAAATAAAATTTCATGAAAATTCAAGGGATTTTCTTTGCTCCGCTGATGACAACCTAAAAACACCCAACATTAATCGTACATGGAAACATGACTTGGACTTACCTTGCATTCAAATGTCTTCTGTGGATGCGTAGAGTTCACTCAATTGTTCATCTACGGTGCCCCATTGTCATGACACGACAAATGCCTGAACTGGTTGACGTCTATGATCCAAAGAGAGGCGACTTTAGGACTTGCATTTCGTGAATCATCTTAGGAAAGAAGCCATTGATGTCCTGCGATGAGGTACCTAGAAATGAGAAACCAGTGCTCCCAACAGAAGGGCGAATCGTCACTACAGCGAGCAGCTTGAGTGGAGAATTTGTTGGGACTACCCCTTCTTTGATCCAAACCTAGAAGAGCCCAACCTTGTCATTCTTGATTGAATGATGATTGTTTGAGAGTCCCTTCAAGCAAACGGGAGACAGACGCACAGAGATAGAGAGTATATGATTAGTGAAGAGACTTCTTTCGTTTGCATTTGGATTCACCGGTTTTGTTACCCGAAATATTGCGAAAAGAGTAAACTGATCTTAGTTACGTTCTATATAATTAACTTGGAAAATAGAATAAATGTTTTACAGTAAATTCGTGTAAAGTTTGTGTTACAGCACATGCATTTAATGTACGCGAGTTCGAACTCATAATGAGTGATTTTACTTTAAAAAACAATTTGCTTTTCGAATACAATAACATATATTCAAGAATATATGTCTTCTTATAGGCCACATATATACAGAAAAACAACCCATTTGAAAAAATTAATAGATTGTGTTTCTCAAGTATCTTGTGACGTGACAAATCATTACAATTAGGACAAAAGTCACCAAAAATCTTAAAGTATGCCCATTGTGACACATTTACTCTAAATTATTTTTTGAAACACCAAAATTCCTAAATTTATACTTGTGTAACACATTTACCATCCGTCAAAGTTTTATCAATGAAAAAAGTTAAAAGAAACCTTGATAGAGGGTGAGTGTGTCAAATAAATACAAGTTTGGGATTTTTATATCACAGGAAAAGATTTAGGGTAAATGTGTCACAATTGATATAGTTTGGAGTTTTTTATGTCACAAAAAAAAAGTTCAAACTAAATGTATTACGGGGGCATAGTTTGAGGCTTTTTGTGACTTGTTCCCAAAGAAATATTGGCACCTTGATTTCTAAGCCCACAAAGGAATGCTATTTTCTTAGGTTGAGGCCTGAAATCTCATGTAATTCCTCTGAAATTAGAACTTCAAGATTAATGTCTTCCATATATACGTGTATATTTCAGTTAATGAATTATCATTATATTAGAAAACATATCAATGACATCAATGGCCGGAAAGACAATATCTCTTCGACATGAAACGATAAGAAGATGAGTAATTTTATGATGCCCAATGACAATTAATTAAGTAAACAACGATTTCCGAGCAAAGTAATATGCACTTTGTATCTATTATTCCATTTGTCCCATACATTCTTCTCTACAAGTACACGATTTATTATTTTGCTTTAATTGCAAGTGCGATCCTCCAAACTCTTGAGGGGCTTAAGATTTCTTGCAATTTTGCGAGCATGAATTCACACAACCATCAACTTCCTTGGCATCTACAAT